GACTGACGGAAGGACAGACAAAGGACCCCTGGGGCTTCTAGAAAGAAATGAGAAGCGAGGCCTTGGGAAAGACAGCAAGACCTGAAGGTGGCATTTGGGGTACGGATTGGGGACTTTGGGCTTTGCCCTGACGTGACCTTGTGCACCTTGCAGATTCGGAGAGACTACGCGTGCAGATTACAGTTCCTGAGAAGCTGCGCTCAGTAACCAGCGAAGGCTTGGAGACGGAAGTAATGAGATGCCGGTGCTGTTAGCCACTTAGAATCCTGTGCATGTTTTGTTTCCTAGAAGTCAGTTTTTACCATTTTCATCCGTGCACATTTGCCGAACTTTATATTTATACCAGAGTTTTCTTGAATAGAAAACCTTTTTTTTGGGGGGGGGGTTACCAAGATTAACAGTGTTTTCTGGAAAACGTGGTGCAGCGATGTTGGCTGTAAAAGCCCCAAGTCCCAGCTCCAGAAGTGCCGCCCTCCTGGGTATCTGAGTATTCACTGGCCTGACCCTCTAGAGAGGCTCTTTCCACCCCTCCCCTGTATTTTAATTAGTGCGATATCATACACCTAAGTTCATTCTGGAGACTATAGATCTTAGAGTAAAATATTAAACCTTCGGAAGAAAACAAGGGAAATACTTTTAGAGTTTTGTAACAGTTAAGAATTAAGGGAGAAAAAGCACGAATTCCTAAGGAAGATACTGAGGAATATTTCCATTTAAATAATGGTTACCATCAACAAAGTGAAAAATTCTTCAAACTCACATTTTCCAATCCATCTGCTACACGATTTAGTACACATACAGTGTCCGGAATATAGTAAGTTGTACATATCAATAAGATAAGAAAAAACAAACAATTATCAATGGAAAGAAAATATTGTTTGAGGTGGTAATATCAAAGATATATTTCAATTGAGAAATGAACTGGAAATTCACTATGGAGTAGAGGACTGTCATCCCCAGAAAAAATTAAATATAAGAAAGCAAAGTATAATTAGACTCTATAAACAAAAAAGGTAACCTTATTTTCTGCTTGTGAATATGTGCATTGGCACAACACTATAAAAACCTAACCTTAAAGATAAGTAGAGCCTGGGTTTCCAGATTTTGAGTGAAAGGTAGTTCTTCGTGTTTCCATATTTATACCAATATTTGGAAGTACTATGTTTAATGACATATAGGAATAGATTGGTAAGTTTAACACATTATACTAAGTGAAGTACAATACAAAGTTATTTCCATGTTAGAGGTAGCAGTTGCAATTGTTTCTGCCTGGGCACACATGTGCCTCCTACTAAGGAGCAATGGAGATGCTTTCCTAGGGTCCAGATTGGTCTTACTGATAGGACTGGTCGGTAACAAAGTCCTAAAACCCCCAACAAAGTACTAGCTCATATATGTAATTGTTTATATTAAAGCACAATAATCAAGGCCATTGGGACTGTTTATCATTCAAGTATCAATCAGTACAATTCACCATATCAGCAAAAGACAGAATAATATAATTGTCCCATTTGATGCAGAAAAAACAGTCACTTGACAAAATTTAACATTTTCACAAATTTCTTCAAAAGCAGAAAATTAGCTCAATCCCCAGCAATGGATCAAAGAATGCTCAAAATATCTCCAAAAAAGTAGCTAAGTAATTGAAAACAAACTCCTCAATGTAATAAAACATCATCAACAACAAGAATTTGTGTCTGATATGTCATATGATACACTGTATTTTCCCATGAAATTGGGAATGAGGGAATAAACCTTGCTTTCACTCCTTAGCTTGTGCATTAAAGAAGCAACCGCAAAGAGGAAACAAAAAGATGAGAAAAGAGGAACGGAGACTGCTTTCATTATGTACTGATGTGGCCGATTACATAGAAAATCCTCACGAATCTACAAGAACACTTCTAATGACAAGTACCTTTTGAAAGAAAGCAGAAACAATCACTATGAAAATCAGTTGAGGACCAGGGATTTAGCTCAGTGGTTGCACTGCCTGCCTCATAAACTCAAGGTCGTCCCAAGTTTGATTTCTGGTACTAAAAAAAAAAAAAAAAAAATCAGTTGTGCTGCTATACAGTCGGAAGTGAATAGAAATCAATTTATTTGCAGTAGTATCAACAATATTATCATAGTTTCAAATATGAGAAGTAATTTTAGCAAAAGATGTATAAGATATTGACATTTGAAGATTAAAAGATGCAGTGTTCAATACCAAAAATAAACAGGGCCAGGGATTTAGTTCAGTGGTTCCGCTTCCTGCCTCACAAGTGCAAGGGCCCGAGTTCAATCCTGATACCAAAAAAAATAAAAAAATAAAAAAAATAAACAGAAATAGGACACATTCACTAACTGGAAGACTCATGATTGCTCAAGTAACAATTCCCACCAAATTAACTGTGCACTTTATTTAATATATATATAGTGCAAATTTACTTTATATTAGTGATAAATAGATCATATTCTAAATTAAATTCTATGATAAATCTATACATAAGAAATATGAATAAAAATAGCATACAACTGTTGAGAAATTAACAGTTTGATCTTAAAATACACATAAAAATTCTTACAAGAGTCAACATTCAAAAAAGAGCAAGTAGAAATGTTCTGTTTTCCTGATTTACTAAATTGCTTGTTCATTCAGATTTAGTATATAGTTCTATTAAGCACGACAGTGTGTCACTGGCAAAGGTTAGATGCATAAATATATCAACAGTAGAATAGAATTTTTTGAAATATGTGTATTAAAATATAGCTAATTTTTTTTCTGTAACAGTGCAAAGATAATGAGGATGGAAAGTCAATTCAAAGTATTGCACTGAAGCAAATGGATATTTATTTACAGAAGCCCAAATGAACTTCAAAACCCTAACATAGTTAATAGTCAACATGAAATGAAGTGTCAATTAAATGTGGAGGATAAACTATAAATTTTATAGCTGGAAGCCTGACACTGGTGACCTTAGGATAAACAACAGTTTCTTAGATCAGACATGAAAATATCAGTGGAATAAAACACAACTTAGATGTAATCAACATGTTATATACACAGTGTTTTCACTAAAGTGTTTTTGACTAAAGAATTCTTACAGGAATCACATTTCAATTCTCTTCATCTATAGTATCAAAGACCACCAAGGGAGAAGTATCTCAATTAAAAAGCAAGGGTTAGAATACTGTGTAGGCACTAGAAGAGTTTATTTGTGTATTTATGCTGTCTGGTTATCTTCTTCATCTAAAACTTTGTTAATCATAAAGCATTAAGTAGTTTCAATTTTTATTGTTGGAGTCATAATAAAGTACAGAAATATCTTTCCTGAATGCCTGGTTATATTGCCTTCTAATTAAGCTCTGGTGTATTTCTCTCCTAGAAGGGCGTTACATCGAGGGTGCTTACCGGACCAAGCCGAAAAAGTGGACATTTTTCTTGATCATTCCTTTTTTTCATTATTTTCTCTGTACTGATTGCTATAGTGGTAAAAGTCTATTTCCAAAGGAAGAAATGGAGAACGGAAGACTATGTAAGTGATGAGTATGTTGAGTTCATATTTAAACTTTATTACTTTTATAATTTTGGTATAATTTATTAACAGCATCATGGTAGGTATAAATAGTAATGATTCAGATGTAGCTTTTGTCTTTATATGAAAATTTAGCATATGATATGTTAATAATTAATGAATAATCAACAAACCAACCCTTCTGATCTGATCAAAACTTGGAGGTGCATGTGGCGGCACATGTCTATAATCCCACCACTCTGGGAAGATGAGCAGGAGGATCTAAAATTGAAGCCAGGATGGGTAACTTAGCAACTTAGGGAGATCCTATCTCAAAAAATAAATGCCCTGGGCATGGTAGTACAAGCTTGTAATCCCAGCACTCTGGAGGCTGAGGAGGGAAGATCACAGCAAATTCAACGCCAACCTGAGCTAGTCAGTTCAAGGCCATCTGCATTACATAGTGAGTCTCACTCAACAAAACAAAAACAATCCCTGCCAAAAACGAAGAACAAAAGATGAATTATCTAAAAGTATACTATAGGAATAAAAATTAATATTAAGATTGGTATCATTCTCTTCATGAAAATTTCTATAAAATAATTTCTGCCTTTGAATTGTATACATATGTCCTTTGTTTTACTTAAATTTGAATTGCACAAAATAAGGTAATAAGACAGTATACATGGACTATACTTTATGTGATAGAGAAGTGCTATACAAGACAGGCCCTTGCCTTGCCTCCGTTTTTTTCCCACAGAATATGTTGTTTTTGAAATGTAAGTTTGTGCTGCTAGGCTCCTGCCCAGTGTATCAAAATGGTTTTTGACTGTTTGAACTGTGTGACCTTTCAGGAATGTTCTGTTAAACTCTGCCCCTCAAAGAAGGTTCTGTTAAACTCTCAGGAATGTTCTGTAACTCCGCCCCTTTGCTTCAGGAATGTTCTGTAACTCCACCCTCCACCCCCCCACCCCTGCTACGTTGAGAATGCTTGCCTACCCTGTAGATCCTTATATAAGGAGGCTCTCATTTCTGGTAGAGAGCTCAGACTGCTCTGAACCTGTTGGAGGGAGGCTCACTGGCATAATAAAGGTTTTTCTCCACCTCTTCAACTGATTATCAGATTTTCAAATCTTCAAATTAGGAAAGGTGCAACCCAGCGCCTCCATGCTAGGCTGTAAAACTCAGCAGTGTCTCTGAGCTCTGGCACTTAGCTGTGACACTGAGCTGTAACACTTGGCTGTCGCCCTGAGTTGCTCTGCTCTGCCACAACACGTAGATATATGTTGAGAAGTTACTGTAAAATTGTGAAAATGATATGCAGCATATAAAATAGTTCACAATTTTAAATATACTTTGTTAATATTTAAATATATTAATTTCTTACATTGGATAACTTGTGGAGAAATTGATATAAAATAACTGTGGGGGGACAATAAGCTAGAAAATACTAGAAACGAATCGGGCTAAAGATGAAGTGTAAAAGAAAGCTGAAAGACATCTCACCGATATCACTATTTATCAAATATTTAAAAAAAATTTAATTCCAGTCTATAATTTTGTTGCGGCAGAGCAGATCAGCTCAGTGCCATAGCCTCGTGTTAAGAGCTCACTGTCATCACTAAGTTCCTGAGCTCAGAAGCACGGCTGAGTGTTACAGCTCAGTGTTGCAGCCAAGTGCTGTCGCTCTGAAGGCACAGCTAAGCTTTATAGCTCAATGCTATAGCTCTGGGTCACAGATCTCGTAATTTGAATACTCAAGACTCTGATGGTCCGTTGAAGAGGTGGAGAAAAAAAACTGTATTATGCTGGTGAGCCCAGGTGGGCTCAGAGGAGTCTGAGCAGTCTAGCAGAAATGAGAGCCTCCTTATATAGAGATCTACAGTGTAGGCGGGCATGCTCACTGAAGCAGGGGGTAGAGTTACAGAGCTTTGCTGAAACACATGCCTTGTGAGCATGCTCACTGAATCCAGGCAGAGTCACAGAACATTCCTGAGAGGGGGCAGAGTTTAACAGAACATTCCTGAAAGGTCACAAAGTTCAAACAGTCACAAACCATTTTGATTCACTGGGCAGGAGCCCAACAGCACAAACATACGTTTCCAAAACACCACATTCTGTGGGGGGAAAATGGGGGCAAGGCAAGGGCCTGTCCTGTTGTATAGCACTTCTCTATCAATTGTTTTTAATCTTTTAGCATCTGTAGATTCAAAGTGTTGGTTAAAGGTAAGTAACATGCTTGAAGTCTCTTTCACACTTGTGTGATCTTTGCATTTGACATCATCGAAGTTGCTTGGCCACACTGCTGACTTTTTCCCCTTTCTTCGGTCTTTCAGAGCATTTTTCTTCAATGGACTGATAAAAGTAGAAAAGAAAACATGCACACTACCTGATTCCTAGAAGTCAAACCTCCATATTGTGGTTTCCAGTGCACCAGAAATAATACACATTTTCATGTATACAGAATATATGATATGTGTGTATATATTGTATATATGATTTTTACAGACAATTTATTTGTAAGAAAGGCCCAATTATGAGTTTAATATTACATTTTTCTTGTTTCAAAAATTACTTCACACGGTGTTAGCTGGTAGTCACTAATTCTGTTACTTAGTAGGCATGATATAGGAGAAGTTATAATAAAGGAAATGCCATGATTAAAGGCTACTTTGATATTTTTAATTGCAAAGGATATGCTTTTAATGTTATAACTTGATGGTTTAATAATGATCCAAAGGTCTGGAATAATTTCTCACCCATATGCTGCTTTCAGAAAACACAATTTCAAGTGTACAAGATTGTAAGAGTGGAAAAACACATGTAGTAGCACAGGAATTTTATACAAAGAAATCTGATATACTTTAACATTGAAAGTTTAGAGATTACAGAAGAATACATCATAATTCAGAGGGTCAATCTAACAAGAAGGTATATATATGTCTTAGTTACTTTTCCAATTGCCAAGGCAGAGTACCCAACACTCAAGGCAGAAACGTTTATTTGGTTCCTGGTTTGTGAAGGTCTCAGTTCGACGTTGGCTCCAAGGCAAGGTCGCATAGCGGACACCATAGCAGACCCCTCTGTGGTGTCACAGAAGAGAAACAATTTTTTGGTGATAGAGCGATCCTATACAATAAGACGGGTTGTTGCCTTGCCTGCACAGAATGTTTGTTACAGAAATGTAGCAGTTAGTTATACACCCATCACGGGGCCAACCCACCCATGATGAGGGAGCCTCCACCACCTAATTACTTTCCAAAGCCTCACCTCTGAATACATGAGGAGTTTCAGGGGTCATTCTTGATATAAACCAAAACACCTCCCCGTTTTCTGCTTCTGGCAACCACCATTCTACATTCTACTTTCTGCCTTTATTTGACTATTCTAAGCATCTCATATAAATTGGATCATACAGCATTTGTCTTTCTGTGACTGGCCTACTCCATTTTACATACTATCTTCAACATTCATCCATGGAGCAAATGTTACAACTGTCCCCTTTTGAGGCTGTATAATATTCTATTTAATGCACATATATTTTGTTTATGCATTCATCCATTAATGGGACTTTGGTTGCAATTACTGCTGTCTTTTTTTTTTTTTCTGAGCGTCAATACTATAGGCCAAATGATTCTGACCTTCACAGCTCTGTGGAATTTATTTTTCATCTGAGCAAGCAGGCTAGGAAAGGTACGTGATAAAGGCCAGGCATGTGACTGAGGCAAGAAATCGAACTTGGTTTGTTTGACTCCAAAGCCCACTTTCTACCAAGCCATGCTGGCAGGGAGTGTAGACTTTATTCCGTGTGCTGTGAGATCAAAGCAGAAAGCTGAGAGAGAGAGAGAGCAGGATAAGTTCAAAGTCCTGATTGAAAAAGTGACCTTAAAGGAGAGATGATGCCTACTAATTATAGTCCTAGTAAAGATGAGATGTTTCAAAGGTTGTCAATCCTGCTGGAAAAACCAGTGACTCCATTGTTCTGTTGTAGCAGCTGCATTTTATGTACACTAAGAATTTGCAGATGGGTTTGTTCTTAACCACAAAGCCACTTAGCAGGGAAATGTTAGACATCCAAATTATTTAGTGTTCCTGCCACTCAGAAACATGTTTGGGCCAAACCCAGCAGTTGGGCCTGGTCATGATGGGCATAGGGCTGGACTGAGGGGGCATCACTCACAGGCCTTCCTGCCAGGAGACGATGCTGCTCTTTCTCACTGGCCCTTAGTCTCCTTCTCTGGCCTCTTGGATAGTTTTCCAAAAGGAAATAGCTCATAAACTGAATTCAGATGAGTGAGTCAAACTGATCTCCTGCAGAGTGGCCCGGAGCCCCTCCTACCTACCTCCCTTTTACCATCCAGATCCCCAGGGCACCCCCTCTGATCTGAAGGAGTCCTTTGCGAGTGTCTCCTGCTTGACTCAAGGCTGCTGAGACTCATCCAAGAACAAAGGCTTCCTCTCTGCCAGTGTGGCCTCCACCCCATCTCGTGCCTGTGTTTGCCCGGCCCTAGGGACCCAGGCTCGGATAAACTCAGCCATGGGCTCTGTGTGTTCTCTGTGAGTCCTTAGCTGATGTACTTGCTATCTTACCTGCAAATGTGCAAGTCTGGTACAAACTGAAAAAGGATGTTTTCTTCCCTTCTCAGAGATGGAAAGGCAAACTTTCCATGCGTGTAATCAGAAAGAGAGGAGCAGGAGGCAAAGCAAAATAGAAGTGGCTGAGTAATTTCAACACGACCAGGTCCAGTTTCTAAGTTTTAGGATTCTAATGCTCTTGTTTAGCTTGAGGACAGTTCAGAGCCACTGGGACCCCCAACTCGGAACATGTCCAGTATTTCCCATCAGCCCTGCCCTCTTAGTATGTCCTGAGACTGGCTCCTCCTTGTCTTTCCTCAACAACACATCAGTACATCTTGGAGGAAGAGTGGGTGGCGTGTCAGTGTGAGTGTGTGTGTGTGTGCGTGCACAGTGATATAGCAAGCTGGAGGTGGGTTTCAGGTAGACTTTAGTATTTAACCAGATGCCAAACTAAGGAAAAAAGAGAAAATGTGGGAAAAGGAAATTATAGGTGGTCAGGGCTTTTTTTTTTTTTTTTTTTTTTTTTTT